TAGGATGTCGGAAATGGCAACAGGGTTTTCAGTGCTGTGGTGGCGATCTCAGGGTATTCTGTCATGACTTTAATCCAGAACACCGACAGAGTTGTTGTCTCGAACATACTTTTAAGGCCGCCGTCATTTGCGATCTCCAGCAGTTGATCTTCTTGTTGCACAGACCTGCTGGATTCACCTGGTTTGTTGACAAATTGGTTGCGGATCCCTTCCTTGGCAGTTCGTGGGTCCTTTGTGGTTGGGAAGTAGCGCTCGAACTCTTTTAAAAACAAAGACATGTGATCGTGCACCAGCTGGGAGAATGAAGGCTCAGGCTCAGTCTCACCCAAAATCCCCGTAATGTTTGAAACATGTCCAAAATGCCTCTGTTGACGCGCAGTCCCCACAAATCCAGTTTGGCTTTAAATGCAGCTACTTTATCTGCCAACTTGAAGACAGTTGTCATTTTCCCCTGAAGTGACAGATTGAGTTCATTGAAAAGGCTGAATATGTCGCACAAGTAAGCCAGTTTTGGCGCTCAAGTGACCGAGATGTAACCGAGAGCATACGGTCATTTTTCAAAATAAAAGATTCAGATAATCAGACTCAGATAATAAATAAAACGGAAATAATTAATGATTTCTTGTGCGGCCCGGTACCAATTGATCCACGGACCGGTACCGGTCCGCGGCCCGGGGGTTGGGGACCACTGTAGTACAGTACAGTGCAAACCGTGACAGGCAACGAATACACCAACATTTAAAACCCAAACTGTTAGAAAATGTTTAGCTCAGTTTCTCATCGCCATACTCAATTACCTGCATGGATTTCGAGGTTGGCAGAGACAGCAGTCCAGCTACAGGGCCTGAATTAAATTGACGATGAAATGTTTGACTAACATTGGATTACTGCGTCGTGAAAAATATAACCATTAAAAGAAGGAAACTCCTTTTGCGAATCAAGTTAAACTCACCCATGAGCTGGTCCTCTGTGAAGTCAGACTGGTTGAGGCGGGGTTAAAGGCAGAGGGGAAGAACAGTTATCAGACAGATAACAAGGGGCTGACAATGTAGTTAAGAGGTAAATTAATCCTCCATTAATTCTAACGTACAGTTAAAACAAGGATTGTGGCTAATTGCTTATACTAGCAGGCCAGGAGCGATACGCAGCTAGCTTAACGCTAAATAGCTAGGTTAGCTAGATGTTTTTACAATTTACGAATGGACAAGTAATTGCTATTTACTGCAAATTTATCACAAGTAGCTACTCCGATGGAACGGTCTGAAACAATAACTGAACATACCATGTCTAGTTTTTTTCGCCCGTAAAACAGACGAAAGCCTTATCTTCGGTAAGAGGAGAGCAACAACAGCTACCAGGTAGCTCGTTCCAGCTTCACAACATTCCTGATGATGTCACCGTGGCTTGTGTAGGAACAGCCAATCACATGCCTCGTTTTTTACAATTACGTTTCTCACATTGTCAAATTGGAAGCAGCTACACCTGTAGAGCCCCTGAACACAGCATAGCATACTGTCCCTTCTTATCCGTACCCAAAGCCATTCTGAAATCCTCAAGGTGTTTTCTATTCATATCGAAAAGAGAATGTAGATATCACAATTCGAGAAGAGACAGCAAGAAAATTGCCTGTCCTACTGTGTAACAGTTCAGACTTAAATCTGGGATATCCATTATGGGTTAAAAAAGCCTTTGCTGAAACACCTAAATCACTGTCATTATTACAGACTGGCAAATGAAAGGGTCCGATTTTAAATGTCTTCCATTCTCAGAGGGAATCCATGTTTTCCCAGGGCTTTAATAATGACCTCCAGCAGTTCTGCTTCGTCCTTAGTGTATAATGATTGCATCCTTTCAAAAGTATGATGATAGTGGAATTTACATTTTACAGATTTCATGGTGTTCAAACATTGTGCTAACAGTACATCATTGGTAATTTCCTAAGCTTATACAGCAAGGCATCAAATGAGCCAGGCCCCCTAACCCATCACCACTTTTCACTCAAGTGAAAGCGCTGATCACACACACTTCTGCAGTCCTTGGACCTATAACACCCTTTGGATTAACTGCTGGATATCTCTACTAAAAAACAGTTCATCATAGAGCAGCTGTTTATCACATCAGATTTCTGTCAAATCTGTTATGTTTCAGTGGAAAGGCTGAGGGCCATGCTTATCAGGCTGGACAAAAGTCACATCCGATCTAGACAAACATTTTTCTTCAATTCAGCCTACACGTGAAGACAAAGTAAACTAAGTATATAGTACACAAGAAAGCAATGACACTCTATTGGCACATTGCAGTAGGTTGCTTGATTTAAAAGTTCATGTGGATAAATTATAGCATGACCTGCTCATTTTTACAAGAAAATAATCATATAACACTAACTTGAACTGCAATTTCAAAACAAAACAACAACAAAAAACATTCTATTGTTGGATTATTTATTTCACCAGGTACCAGTGCTGGTGGGTTTTCTGCTTTCAAATTCATGGTGACAATGTCTGACTGTCTTGGTATCAGACAGTAAATGAATACTCGGAATTAATCTTCATATAAAATAAAGGCATATGATGAATTTTTTGGATACACGATTTCGCTGCTTTCATTCTGCTTCTTCACTGGTCGTCTCTCCACACTGAAATCGGACAAAGTCCAGCACTCGAGCCTGTTGCCCACAGAGGAACTGTGCTACGGTTCTACTGGGGTCTCCCAGGAAGGTCTGTGGTAGCAGACGTGTCTCACTTTCACCACAGGGCAGGTCATCCATGTTGCCCAGGGACATGGGGGATTCTCCTACTACGTGTTGTCCCAGCTTACGACCTAAAATTTCCTGTTCTCCTTCCTTTCCACCCTGGAAAATGACAAGGGCACCATATCGCCCCATCGCCACCTCAGGCTGGCCACTCACGCTACCGTGCACATATGAGCCGATGTACCATTCAGCAGGGACACCAACTGTCACCGCCCGCTTCACTGACATATTCTCACCGAGGCGACCTGAGTGAAAAGAGGGGAACATGTTTCATCAATAAATGGTGCAATGAGTTCAGAAGGCTCATATCTTATTCACAGTTCTTGTTAGATGCAACAAAATTTTTGTTTGCTCTTCTTTCGTTTTTTTCTGTCAAGTGGCAAAAATTTATCAATTTCCATTGCCACAAGGCAATGTAAGCATTAGATGACTTTATATCATGTGACTTCTTTTTAATGTTAGAATTTGTTAATTCTCACCATGAAGAGTGATCTATGAATCCAGCAAGAAAACAATGAACAAAATCAACTTGAACTTAGAAATGAGTTGCACCACTGGTGGTGAAAACCCAGTTGAAGAACTGCAGAAGGCAGAGGGGAACATGTTTCAAGCTAAAGTAGCAGTGAAACTGCAAAATATCTGAAGGAAAACAAACACTTTTCTTACTGACCTATTGTGAGAGCCACCTGGTCTGCAAGTGAAGCTCCTTCACCCAAACTGAGTTTGTTTAACTCATCACCTGCCAGGACACTCTGGAAACAAATGTAGTTTGTTAACAAAATCTAAGTATAGGAAAAGAAACAGGACTGAAGCACTGACACCTGGATTTAATGTGTTGTATTTTCTCTCCTAGCAGCATCAACCTCTAGAAGTCTTACTCACATTTCACACAAAGTCTGACATCATGCTAGAAAAACCCTTTACCTCAAAGTACAACATGGCATTACACACTGTAACCTGTGTACTGCTCTACACTGATATTTTAAGAAACCTCAATATATGCTTAATTTTCAGCTTTACATGACCTCCATCAGCTCCACTTTGCTACAGGTTTAACCATATACAGTGAGGATATTCATTACTGTAAAAATTAAATTACAGGCCTTTGCAGCTTTACCTTGACATATCCTTCATGGCTCTGAGCTTTACTCTGGTGGTGAGCCAAGGTGGTAAACACCACATCCTTCACCAGCTGCTGGAACTTCTCATTGCGGGCAACAAAGTCTGTCTCACAGTTAACCTGTATCAAAAAGAGAATAACTGAATTCCATCAGGCTGAACAAAAATGAAACTAATGAACTGACATGATGATGCTGGTAATAACTTCCTATGCTGCTGGTCTTACCTCCACCATAACTGCAGCTTTATCTCCTACAAACAGACCGATCAGGCCCTCCTTAGCTTTGCGACCCTCCAGCTTGTTTGCTTTGCTCCAGCCCTCCTTCTGTGCCTGCTCATGCAGCCAAGCCTCTGCCTGAAAGTTGGACAAGTTACATCACCTGACACTGTCAATTGTTAGTGCAGAGTGGGGTTGAGAAAGGTGGTTACCTGTCTTATTTCATTATCAAATTTCTCCAGTGCTTTCTGGCAATTAATGAAAGTGTAGCCGGTGCTTTTCCGCAGTTTCATCAGGAGAGCTTTCTCTGCTGCTAGGAGCTGACAACCTGTGTGTAACCACTGTACGTGCTGGTTAAGGCTGACCTGTAAATGACAGATGGAAAAAGGTGTAATATCTTTAAAACAAAAACCAAGTAGGCTGCCATTTTATTCTGTCTTTAGCTGACAGTCAGATGTACCAAACTTATGTCACAATAGAAATCTAGCCATGATGATATCTAAACAGTACAGAATAATGAATTAGCAAACTTAACGTTAGCCACTGAAACTAGCCCAGTAGTTAACAGAAAGAAAAGACTATTAAACCAGATTGTCAGGTCAAAATCTAAGTGAAATGTCAATAATATGAACAAGTGTGAGGCTAAATCTGCTCACCTTTGCAACATCTCTTATTACTGTTCTGAATAAAACGGTGAGCGACATATTTAAACCCCGGAGAAGCGAAAATTTTGAAGAAAGCTCAAAGTGTCATTGAAAAACCACACTGTGTAAGGAAGCCGTCTATGACCAAAAATATATACGTAAGGTTAGTTATTGCTGATTGGCGCCCTCTACAGTACGGGAGTACAGGTGCATCTTCGAAGCCATAACTACAGCCAGTGAGTCATACTTGCCCTTTAAACCTCAAACAATAATAAATGACACAATACATCAGTGGTAGAAGACGTACTCAGATCCCCTACTTAAGTAAAATTAGTAATACAACAGTATAAAATACTCTGTTATAAGTACAATTCTTGTATTCAAAATGTTACTTAAGTAAAAGTACAAAAGTATTAGCATCAAAACACACTTAAGGTACTAAAAGTATTCATTTGCAGAATGGCACATTTAATAGTAATGTATATCATATTGAAATATAAAACTGATGCATTTTTGTGTACATCACATTATATGTTGTGGCTGGTAAACAGGGAGCTAGTTTTAACTAGTTTATAGGCTTATAATTTTAATTACTGCTGGGTAGCTTGTGAATTTTATGAATGTTTTATGAATACTGTATATTTTGTATTAATTTGGTTCTGGACAGTAACTAGTAACTAAAGTTATAAAATAGGTGTAGTGGACTAAAAGTACAATATTTGTCTCTGAAATGTAGTAAAGCTGAAGTGTGAAGTAGCAAAAAAAATGAAAATACTCAAGTATAGATACTTCAAAATTGTGCTTAAGTACAGTAATTGATTAAATGTACTCAGTTACTTTTCACCACTGCAATATATGTTTGTATTCTGTCAGTGTATTGTTCAATTCTGAGCCTTAATGCTGGTTACAGCCTGACAAGAGTAGGACGGAAAGACCTGCAATGAGCTCCATCACGCACTTGTGGTGGAGCAGTCTGCCACTGACGGAGCTGCCCAATGCATTCAGGGTCTGATGCATAGGGTAGGAGTCATTCTACAGGAGGGATGTTAATCTAGCTAACATCCTACTGCACTGGGTCAAGGCGGACTTCCATTATACAGCTGGCCCTGTCTGTGGTTGTGCTGCTACTGCCCTGCAGACCATTCCATAGAAGCTGGCTGATGCCACTACTGTGTCAAAGAAGGTCCTCAGGAGTGTCCCCTGCACTCTGAACGACATTAGTCTCCTCAGCAGGTAGAGCCTGCTCTGGTCTTTCTTGTAGAGTGCATCAATGTTGTTTGACCATTCCAGTCCAAATTATGAAATTCATAAAGATAAATTATTCAAATAAAATAAATGAGAAAATAAATCACCCCTTGGTTTGACTGGTCTCATGTGGTAGATGTCCAGCCAGTGATGAGGTGTTGCATTTGCAGTAAGCATGCTTTCTGGCCAAAAAGGTTGGGATTTGTTCTAAATTATTATATCTTATAGCAGTGATGATGCAGCTGAACCTGAGTTTACATTACACACATAAAACCACTTGGATAGTGTGTTCCATTTTCTTGAGCTTTTCTAACTAAGTGTAATCGTATAATCTAATATGTAATTTGGGAGCATAAAAATGCAACAATTTCGCTTATGATACTGTACCTTTGATAACTAATGTCTAATTTTTTTATGGGTTAGAAATGAAAAACCATTAATAATTTCAACATTGCCTGTTTTCCATGATTTTAAACCCCATGAATATATTATGTCTTAGTTGCTCTACACCCTCTGTATGCAACATGAGCAGGATCACTGAAGCAGGTGAGCTGTTATAGGTAATCTTGCATGAACCCTGTGAAATACAGCATCTGGCCACTCTGGCAGGAGGGGTAACAAGACAAAGTGTGCTTTCAATGATTATATTTTGCATTGCATTTCATTAACACTTTATTTTTAAATTGCTTTTATTTATCCCAATAAATGTAATATGTCTGAAACAGCAGTTGCTATCATAGCTGACACCTTCTTGTTAAGGTCTTATTTTTATATATTAAAGCGCTGTCTGTGTGATAAGCAGATGTGCAATTTCACAGAGAAGAAAGATAAAAAGTTTATGTACATTATTTAAAATTTTTTATGTTTCCACTTTGTTTAGGAGTGCCATGGCTCTCCAATACCTCACACGCCTTCTGTACAATCAATCAACAGTATAGCTTATGATTAAGAAATTAAAATGTCACACTTGCCAACACCCTTTAGTGTTTTTATTCAAGATACATGGTCACAGTAAAGTGGGCTGGCTGTGGGCTGGCTTAATATGAGTGTTGCGCTTGGCATTGGTCAGTTGACACTTGCTTATAAAAGGGAGACCATGATAACAGTCATTTCACATTGTTTTCAGGTTGTTGCTGAGGCACGATGAAGGTTATTCTTATCCTTGGACTCTGCATGACCCTGTTCTGCCAGGGATACAGCAGTAAGAGTTTTTTTTTTGCTCTAATATGACCATAACCTACTATTACAAGTTTATCATTAACATTTAATACAGGCACAGAAAGGGTATGAATGCAATTGCTGTTAATCAAACACTAATCTGTTGGTTTCCAGATACCCTGGACCCCTGTCAGGGTCTGTGGAAGGTTTTTATTTTATCAATGTGTACCTTGCCTGTTTTGACGAGTCTTTTTCTTTTCCTTCTAGCTGGAGCCACGTCTTGCAAAGGCAGATGTGGTGAGAAATACAACTCTCAGAATGACTGCCACTGCAACTCCAAGTGCACTGAGTACAAAAACTGCTGCAGCGACTACACAGAACTCTGTCACAGTAAGACCATTTTGTGTCACCTAGCTGACCCTGCCTCACATGAGATACAGATACTGTTAGTCAACAAGCTTCTACCTGTTTGTGTTCCCCCAACACCTGGCGACTTTCACATGGTGGACACTAACTCAAGGTGGTCAGCAGTCAAGCTGTGAGCCCTGTGGTGCTGCGTGGAAAAGCTCAATTTTGCAGTGTGGAGTCTGTGAAAACAGCTTTAGTCTTCATTCTAACCTTTGGTTTTCATTCAGTTTATGTAGTTGTATTGTTGAACGTGTTCACGTAAATTGAAAAGAAAAGACTAAATATAAAGATATTTCACCGTGTGAAATTTATTATGCATTAACGTATCAAAATAAGCATGTGCACATGGATCCCATCTGTTTAGGATAAACAGAAAAGACTAAATTCAACTTAGCAGTACACAACATTTATATGAAAAAATGTTACTCTCTGATTGGTCCAAACTGTTGGGGAGGAATTGTGGTTTAAACTTAATTCTCCCAAGATTGGTCCTTCAATCCGTCCATCCTCCAATCTTCCTCTCTGCTCCAATGGTTGTAGACAGCACCCTAAAAAAGGGATGAATACCTGCCCTGTCTTAATTCTTACATAGACGCCTATGTCTTTCTTTGTTACCAAGAGACTTTTGGCACTAACCCCCCTTTAGCAATAAAACTTCTCTGCCTGTGTGTGTGTATATTACCCTGTCTTTTGAAGTTGGTCTCTCTTCCTGGCTTTAGATCTAATCTCTGTTTCAACTATCCTAGAAACCCCAATAAACTTCTAGCTCCCCCATCCCATCAGCCAGGTGGTGATCATAAAACAACTGTGGACCCTCTTTGCTAAAGCTGTAAATCTAATAAGTTTTCAGTGTTGTAGTAAACCAGTCTCCTTGATGTTAAACAGTACTCTAGTTGGCTTACACAGAAAATACTGACCAGTGATTCAATGCAGACTTAAGGTGATATGTAACTACATAAACATAAACACAACTGTGAGAGTAAAATATATAAACTTATGTATGCTATATAATAAAACCCTAACTAATTATATATTTCTATCTAAAAATGAAAATCACCCTAACAGTATCATGGTCTAATGTCTTGGTTTACAGTGGTGAAAAGTAAGTGCATATTCTACTGAAGTACAGTTTCAGTTCTTCCATTTTATGTTATGTTATATTTCAAGTTTTTACTCCACTATATACAGTTTTAGTTACTAGTTACTCTTCAGATTAAAAGTTTTACATAAAAACATCAAACTCCTAAACAACAACACACTGTCAAACATTAAACAGGTGGCTTTGAAACATTTTGACATGCTGGCCCAGCTGTCTCCTACCAGATGTCAATGAGTTGTAACAGTAACACATCACAACACATGCATCAATACTACTGTAGTTTATTATAATGCAGAGGGTCGCTGGAACTGATTTTATATACAACTACTATTACTTTTGGTACTTTACATTTGTCTGATGATACTACTTTAACTTAAGTAGAACATTACATGCAGGTCTTTCACTTGAAAATGGGTATTTTTTTTTACTCTGTGGTATTAGCACTTTTCCTTAACAAGTAACACAGACCTCAGTACTTCCACCACTGTTGGCTTGTGTGGCCATCCTCTCAGTCAAATCTTCCCCTAGTATGACCAGTGGATGTCACTGTTGTGCTATATCACAATGAAAGTAAAAAGATGTGTTTGCTGTTCTCTCACCTGCTCCCTCCGTTTCGTAATACCCAGTGGTGGTAGTCCTCATATCCTTTAGTGAAGTTAAATTAGCAATACTGCAATACAACATTAAGTATTATGAGCAAAATGTACTAAATATGAATAATACTTGCTGAGGTTATTGTTGATGTAAACAGCATTTTAATGTTGTAGCTGGTGGACATGCAGCTCAGCAGAAGTATTTTATATACTGTAGTGATTTTATAAGAATCTATTATATATTCTAACAGTATTTTACATCACATTTATTCAGCATACTGATTATGCAGTCTGTAAAACATACCCAAAATCTTAATTTAGAAAGTAAAAATAGATGTAAAATACAAATAGTGGAATAAAAAGTATAATATTTTGTGGCATAAAGTATTCAAGTACCTCAAAACTGTAAGCCTAGTCACTTTTTGTCACTTTTCACCACTGATAATACGACATATGCTACAGCAATGCAGAAATTACTTTCATAGGTTAATAGAAATGTAAAAAATAATTTCTGTGCATGTGTTTGTGATTCTCCACAGGTGTAGGAGGGGGTGGTGGTAGTGCCATCACTGATGCTGAGATCAAGGCTGTCTCCGAGACCCTTTATGCTCTGGACTCAAACAAGGCTTCAGCCTCTGAGTTGATCATTGACCCTCAGGTGCTGGTACCTGACTCTCAGACAAACCTGCAGACAGATCTCAGCCCTAGACGGTGAGCAGTGCTATTAGCACAGCGTACTCCGGCTGGCTCTCCTTCCTCCTGAAGAAGATGAATTTACCCTTTTTTCTGTGTTGTCTGGCATTTTTGCTTCCAGCTTGTTCCGCTACCTGGATGAGGAGGCTCTGTTCTCCAGGCCCACCTATGCCGCTCTCCTGGCTGTGCTGGACAACTACCACCGGATGACTGGGCAGGCAGAGGACTTCAGCCCTCAGCAGCTGGCGGAGCAGGACATTTTTCTTAAGGAGACCATGTGCACTGAGCTGGGCAAAGAGCTGTTTGCCTTCCTCTACACAAAGGGTAACTTGGGCCATGTGTAATGGTACATCCCAATTTGGCACTGCTCTGGTAATGCCTTTGCTCTGGTGCAAAGGTTTTCTATATCTGATAATGTGAGCAGCCCCTTCAGAAAAAACTGACAAAATATACTGATAGTTCAACACAGAAAATTAATCATTTTTGTCACTGCTGTTATTAATCTCTTTGTTACTTCTGCTGAGAGGGTAAACCTGTTTTGGAACTACAGTTCCCACAATGCTTTGGCAGATGTAAACTAGAAGTCTAACATTTACATGGAGTCAGTGAGTTAATTGGCTTTTCACATTCAGGAAGATTATGTTTATTCTGAAGAAAACTTAAAACCTATTGATTCTCAGTTCTGAAGGTATAAGAGTGTATTTTGTCCAGGGTTTTTAAGTGGATTCATGGATATTTATTCAACAGAAATAAGAGAAACAGTAAGTAACACTGAATTTTAAAATGTGTATCATGTCTGTGTTCAGATTTGTGTATTTTGATTTTAGACATCTTTTTCAACTGGACACTAAGAGTTATAAAATATCATAATTACATTTCACCTCATGAAGCACTTTGCCTCAAGTTTCCCCACAGTTTGAAAACCTCTGATCTATTGTTTAAAGTGTGTTATTCTGCATCTTAAGGTATCTATGCGTCAAAGGAAGAGTTCATTCAGGACCTGAAGATGATGTGGTTTGGTCTGTACTCCCGTAACAACAACAAGATGGACTCCAGTGGTTTTGAACACACCTTTGCAGGTTTGGACAGAGCTGATGTCTTTGTAGCACCATAGATGTCTTGAAAACAAAAATTTATGCATTTAGTAAGAACTGCATTCTGTAATAGGAGAGGTCAAGGGAGGAAAGGTGTCTGGTTTCCATAACTGGATCCAGTTCTATCTTCTTGAGAAAAGGGGGCACCTGAACTACTACAGCCACAGCTTCAATGGGCCTGTAAGTATCCACAATAAAGACATCAACATTTTGGTTTATACTGTGATGTGAATCACTTCCTTTATTTCCTTTCTTTCTCTTACTTGCAGTGGACTACCTACCCTGATGTCCTGGGGATGCAGTTTATGTGGGATGGTTACTTCAAGCAGGTCGGCTCTGCAGTCATCGGCAGCAGTCCTGAATTTGACTTTTCCGTTTACAGCCTCTGCTATATCGCTCGTCCTGGAAAACTGTGAGTAAATCTAAATGCCCTCACTACTCTGTGAGGTCCTCTGGCCTGAGAACATTTTCTGATTTAGATTTTATATTGTCATCCTCAGGTGTCGCCTAAGCCTGGGAGGAAAGGAGCTCAGTGTCCAAACCTACACCTGGGATAACTCTTTTTATGACAGCAAGCAATTTACATAGCAGCCTGCCTGTCTTTCCTTAGACTCACTATATACACTAAATCCTTTGAAGTAATATTCCTAATAAAAGCACTTATCACAGTGACAGGTATTCATATGTTTAAGCAACATTTTCAGTTTAAAAGTTAAAAGGTATGATATAAATGTATCACATCAACTTATTCCCAAAATTCTGTAATTTTGCAATTCAGAGCAATCTGTCAAATAGATCTATCTTCAAATATTGGTTCTTTTGTAAGTGCTCCAGAAGCTTCCCACCCTCACACATGCACTTGCATAAATAAACCAGTAAACCAGACAGTTGATTTATCTGCAGTGAAACATTTCTGAGCAGTCGGACAGAGCATGAGAATGTGGTGCTCTCCCAGGGGCATGATCAAACTGTGCCTAATGGGGCAAAAAATGGGACTTTACACACCCTGAGCAGGCACAATACTGACACCAACCCTTCAACAGTAAGAGCATGTGCGCATTTGGCACAATTGCTTATTGTCTTATATAACAACAACAACAAAAAAGTCTTTTGCAGTATGAATTATAGACATAAAAAGACATTAACAGATCCTCTTCTGCTTGACCTGCTCCAAACAGTAGCCACAAGCTAAATCTGTACTTGTCAGCTGTCCATAAAACTGTGTGTGTAACTCCCCAGTGTGGGGTTAAGTGTGTGTGTGCCTGTACAAATAGGTGCATCCTAGTGTGCGAGTGCGTCCAGCTGGGATGGGGGTTGATCTTATTCTTTCACTCATCTAGGGTGACTAACAGGATCATTTCTGGTCTGCTGACAGAACAGGGGCACACACTTGCAGGCCTGTTTAAAGAAGGTATTACATGAGACAGATCTGCCACTGATCCCATTGTCCTCCGGCCTGTGTGTATTCATACAAAGCAAGAGCAGTTTGCATAACTCCGGCCTTCAGTGATTCATCTGGAAGTCAAAGTGTAGCAGCAACGTGACAATAAAGTTAGGCCCAGGAAGAATTCCTCTCACAATTTCGTCAGACAATATTACATTTTCTGAGCTGGTGACTCTAGAAATTAGAAAAGTAAATCTTTTCTCTTTTCACACTGCTCTCTTTTTAAAGCCCCAGTGGCATCAAATTAAATCACAGTGGGGCAAATAAAAGAAAAGATTCAATTGTTTCTTTTGTCACTCACACAACTTCATAATCAAATTATAGCTGGCCACCCGCCAGCGTGTCCCTGCAAAATGGACTTCTCCTGGCAGATCTCGTGAGCCACCTGACTTTTGTTTTGTAATTATATTATTCTGCTCTCCCTTTAGTGTGTCGCAGCTAATGGCTGTGCGGGCTAGCCCAGCTGCACATGCAGAAACAAAGCTGCTTATGGGCTCCGACAATAGACCCGTGGAAAAGGGACGCCTGAAGGCGAGTCAGCCAATGAGCATGCACAACAGGGGGCCAATAGAGGGTTTAGGGAAGGGTTAAGGGAGTTTAAGGGTTCAGGCAGAAAGGGGTGTCTATTTTACCCAGTTGTGGGGTCCATCAATGCGATGGTTAGTAGGACACATGGTCAGCAACACCTCGGCCTCCTAAGGGTCAGTGCTGGCCTGGAGGGAGGTTCAAGTTTGGCTTAGATGCTGGATATTTCTAAAGTTGATGTGTGACCATGAAATACAGAGCAACATTAATTCTCTAGAGGTTTTGTAGGCCTTCTGAACAACGTGATAACTGTGCTGTCAATGCTATTAGTTATGGTATAAATTTTAAAGTTGATACAGGCATATGCAGAGTGAGAGATACAATCTTGGGCCATTGAACATCCAAGGCTGATGATAGTGCTGGAAGCAAATGATTTTAATTGCTGCACATGTAATATGTCCACTTCCTTAACACACACACACACTCACACACACACACACACACACACACACACACACACACACACACACACACACACACACTTGTCATGCTGTGGTGTTGGTATCTCTCCAAGGACTTCCAGTATGACAGATGGACAAAACCCACTTTTCCCCACTATCACACATAGAAACGCTGGGGACTCACAGGAAGGTCATGTTTGTGTGTGTACTGGAGTGAAGATTTATCTTTCCATTTTTTTAATTTTAATACTTATTATATATAAAATATATATAAACTCCCATCTCACATCACACCTAGAGAAGTTGAGGGAGGGACTGTCCTCTGAGCAATGTGAACATAGTGAGTGAGCCAAACAACCAGTGGAGAATAGATGAGCATCTGAGCATCAGACTGTTAAAATAAGAGATATGTCTAAGAGAAGACCATCTGCACCAGGACTTCATTGTGTGGGCCAGCACTGAGGGACCTGGGCACATTATGGCATACATATAGTATTACACTTCAGCACCATTTGTGGAACTTGAAGATTGGACAACATGCAGTAAGTAGGTCAAATGGGAAGTAGACATGGTAAGGCAACAACAACAACAACTGACAGCTTTTCATGGAAGGAAAGTTATCAATCAAACTGGGATGTGACTCATGTCCCCTAAAACAAAACATAATGCAAATTTATTTCTATATCATAAACTCTGTTGTGTGTACGTGATGGGGACACAAGGCCTCAGCTATTATATTCCCCTGCTAGTTTGACTCTGGGGACACAAAAGCCATGGCTCTGCTTTTCCCATTTTGAGGCTGCAGGTGTGGAATAGGACAGGCAGAGACCCAAGGGAAGGAGCAGTGGGGAAGGTGGTCAACCTGGGAATGAATAGGGAATGAAAAGCAAATACTTCAGGTGTACAGATTACCTTGAACCCCACCTCAAACCTCTCTGTTAGAGCATGTGGTGCTCTGTTCCTAAATCTCATACATTCTCCCTGTACAGTCTGCCTGTTCCCTTATCCTTTTGTTTTGCATTGTAATCTTTTACAACTTACATTCATGAACAAATGTTATATTTAGCGTGCATATATGCCCATCATAAAACACATCTTTTGTTTGTGATTCAGCAGATAAACTAAAAAGGACACATAATTACTAAAACCCTGACTGTAGTTTGATATTCAGCATGCCCTTTATGCCACACTTCATTACTTTGCTTTTACAGAGCCTAATAAAAATGCTGTAGTAAAAGTTCATAGCACAATGTCGACATTTTGGCAAGTTCTTGCAGCTCGCCTTTTGGAGTCACATTTCATAACCTATTTCCAAGGTCAATATCGAGCTCTTAAGGTCAGTGTTACACTGAGGGGGCATTTCAACATTGTCAAAACAGATCTGAAACAAAAGATTTTTTTTTCATTTCTCTAAATCAAAGAAGTATTTTGGTGTGTTTTGTAGCCATGTGTGATGACTCACTTAAACCAAGTGATCTGAGATGTTGATGTACAGTTGATATATACTGTTTGCAATTTGTTTAAAGGGTGTGTTCAATAAAGTCATGAAAGGTCATGACTGTTTATGTTTTATCAGCTTAGAAATATTGTGTTTGTTGATATCTGTGACTTTGGTGAGGATCAAATCACATTTCATGACCACTTTATGCAGAAAACCAGGAAATTGCAAACACAAAAGTAATGGCCTTTTTCAGCTTCAAGAACAAACTGAGAGAATTAAAGGGAGTCCAGCTATAGAGATATTCTGTATGGGTGATGGTTCTTTAAACCTCAAAATACAGAAGTACACCTATAAAATACACCTGAGCTCAGGGGAGGGGGTGAAATGAGTCCCAGTCACATTTAGCCTACCAATGTAACTTCACATCTCATGTGACCAAAACTACCCCTTCTGGTCAGACCTGGGTGAGATGAACTTGTTCAGCTGCCTGTCCCTGCAGTGCAGAGGGATGGATGGCTGTGAGAGTGGATGGAGTCAACACCTGCTCACACACAATTTCAAGCTGCCACATAAAGTTAGGCTCAGAAAACCGAACACGTCTCCCCTCCGCTAAATGCAAACGTGACGGCCCTCGGAATGGAACAAAGGCCCGGTTTCTTCACCGAGCTTATGCACATCCCCCTGACCTTCCACATACACACACACACAGGCGACGAACGGAGCTGCAGGGGATCGCGCCACGGGCCGGACACGCGCGAGAGCCAGCGCGTCAGCAGGAGTCGGATGGGAGTGGGAGGAGGAGCTTTAGCGCTTAGGCTAAAACCGGAGCCCCCTCACAGTGACCGTCACTGGGACAAACACTGTGGGACAGCAACAAACTTCAGCTCCGCTTGATGGACAGAAAGACCGAACAGTGAGAAGAGAAAAATATCATCTGAAAAATCTCTTGAGGAGCCCCGGGCCATATCAACACAGGTAGAATAAGCTTTTAAAAAGATTTTAACAATCAAGTAATCTGTACTTAAACAGCCTGGAACAGTTTCGGGACTTTTTCTGTGCTAGTCATAGAACCATAACAAAAACAGTTTAGTCGAAATCTACAGAAATGTCAAAAGCTCTGCAGCTTTTATCTCTAACTAAAACTCCAGATGAAGTGAACTGATTATATCATTTAAAATGTGTAAAGGCTTATCAATTTGCGTGTTTAGCAAATAGCTGCTCAAGCGCGCAATCTGTGGCAAGATAATATTTCTGCGTTTTGAAATGTCTGTTTCATTTGGGTCTACTGTTAAGTCCTGTGTCACTGATCTGGGGGATGTCGGTCTTTCATTTAATCCCGTGGCCGTCGCTTCATCCACGAAACAAATCCTGCGATGCCCCAGATTTAAGTGCTGTCACAGTGACTTGATTTCAAGGGTATTACCAGTTCACAAGTTGACGGGGATTACCCGGCGAGAATAGGTGGCGAAGGGGTACAACTGCACAATGCATGTATGGAAAACAGAGCCCTGGTTTACAATAAAGGTGCCAGAGTCATATCCTGGCATGTTTGGGTCAATCAGACGCACCTGTGGCTCAGGAGCGCGCGGCTGGAGGGAACTGTCCGGTGCTGAAGCCACAGGGCTGAAGGCTGCTGACAGTCACGGTTTACAGTACAACTGTTAATGTAGGTTTGGATTGATAATGACAGCTTATAATCACTGCCTCCACTGGGCTCTAACCGGGATTTTAGAAATAGTGAGACCCCCCCCAATTCCCAGAAAAAGTGAACAATGATATGGCTCCATTATTCAACCCTTATCCTTCACTACTGTTATACAGTAATTATCAGTAACAGGATTTAATGTCAAAGCAGGGAAGAGAAAACATTTGTTCTCAACTGATTTCTGCTTAGTTACCCGAATACTACCATGTACTGGTGGTATTTTTATTTAATATGCAGTGGAAGAAGATCAAAGAAAATGGAACTACTCATCACCTCTAAACTGCACTTAGGTAATAGTCTACCCATACATTACCTAACTGCTTATTCTCTAGAGGGTCATGGGTGGGGGTTGGAGTAGATCCCAGCTGATACTGGGTGACAGGCACTTATGCAATAGCAATATTTTTAAATGAACTTAGTTCTTTCCACCACTGCTAACATAACCTTCCTCAGTTGTAAGTGTGCTAATGAGTGAAACAAAGTCCTTGTTTGAAACAAAAACTTGCATTTACCTCACACCAGAACTCAGTGTTGTGAATTTCAGCACACTATGAAATATGACTATGAAATAATATCCAGAATAATAGGGGAAAAGCACAGGTTAAGAGAGTAAGAATATTAATATAGAGAATTCATTCATTCATTTTTTACCGCTTAGTCCCTGAACGGGGTCATGGGGGGGCTGGAGCCAAATAGAGAATTGTGTTTATTAAAAGAGTCCTCAAATGACAGTTAGTAGTGAGGATGATTTGTAAACCTGTCAGTAACTGCATGATAACATGTATATGACAAAGATGTTTTCTCTTTTGCAGAGTACTATGATGAGACAAGGGGAAGGAGAGGAGGTCATCAGCCCTCTGCAGTGGATGGATGGAGACATGAGCTCGCCTGATGGAAACACATCGGTCTCATTACATCGCTACAAGGCAGGTGGAGCAAACCAACAGACCAGGGAGATGGGGAGTGAGGATGCAGAGGAGGATGAGGAAGATGAAGAGGACAGACAGGAGGATGAAAATGACTGCAAAAAACAAAGGCCTAAGAAAAAGCGGATGACCAAAGCCCGACAGGAGCGATTCCGTGCCAGGCGTATAAAGGCTAATGCCAGGGAGCGCTCACGTATGCACGGTCTAAATGATGCCCTGGAGAACCTACGCAGCATCATGCCCTGTCACTCCAAAACCCAGAAACTGTCCAAGATTGAGACATTACGGCTTGCTCGCAACTACATCTGTGCTCTGTCTGAGGCTCTGGAGGGGGGCCTGTCCACAGAGAGTAGGGCTTTCATGGAGACGCTGTGTAAGGGCCTCTCACAGCCCACCACCAACCTGGTGGCTGGCTGCCTGCAGCTGGGACCAGCTCATGGTGCTGGGATGGGGCCTGAGGACAGACATGGTATTCGGGCACCACCTACTCCTCTCAGTGGGGTGGTAAGCTACTCCTCCCCAGGCCTACCAAGTCCACCTTATGGCATGTTTGACTCTGCTCACCTTCTTCACCTGAGGGCGATAAAAGGAGGAATGAATGAGAGTCACTTCCCAAATGAGTATAATGCTGGTGGCGTGGGGACCCCTCCATACGACAGCCCTCCTACACCACCTCTGAGCATCAGCAGTAACATGGTGCCGAAACAGGAGCCCTCACACCACTACTCCTCCTCCCCTGTTGAGCAGGGCCTGTATCAAGCTCAGAGCAGCTATAACATACACCGACAGGAGCCATATTACTCCTACCATCCACCGCATATGAACCCGCGACAGATAAGCTCTGTCTATAGAGACTAAAGAGGCTGAGGAGAGTTCAGTCACCAATACAACCTCACTGCTTGAGTTAGTCTTTGATCCTTCATGAACATTTAAGACTGAAGAGTTGACCCGTCTCAGTAAAGGCTGTTATCAGAAGAATGGTAGAATAAAACTGGCTCGATTATATGTGTGGAGACTTGCACAGTAGCACTGCTGAACATTACTAATCTTAGAAAATACTTGACCTAAACCAGCACATTTTCTTAAAAATGGATTACCAAATGATGTAAGGACCTAAGGGTTCCTAACAGGAAAATCTGCTTTGGCCATTTTGACCAATGTCCTGTTACTGTAATATAAGCACTTCTTATTTATCTTTGGCAACATCAGATATTTTATGTAAATTAATTTAATTTATTTTCTAATTTTAATACAGTACATAAGGATGTTGTTGATGTGCAGATGTGTGCCCGGATATCCTTTTGTATTTTTTGGTCAAGGCTTCTCTTTGTTTGATAGAGCGATAGTTTATCTCTTACAGTATCTTTCTGTTGTGTGCAGTTTTCTTGGTTGTGTATTCGTTTACATTTTGCACTCAAAACACATTCAGTTGTAGATTTCCTAATGCAATGCAGCTCATCTTTGGAGGGTGTTGTCTGCAGATGTTTCATAGACAAAGACAAACAAACTAAAAGAAAATGGGTGGAGTTTAGGTGAGGGATCATGGTAAATATTCTCGGGTTAACATTGTGAAAATTATCAAATTTTCATCAGATTTTGTATATCATACAATATTTAGTCTTTTCCATTTTTTTTTTCTTTTGGAAGATTCAATGTTGTTAAAATATAAAAATTAATTCAACCAGTCCATGGATTCTGTGTTTAATTTTTGTTAAATCGATAGATAGAAATGGATAAACAGAGAGACAGACAGATAGATATGTCAGAGAGTTCAGCAACTCCATCAGCAGTGAGGGATCCTGATTAATTGCTATCCTGATTTTTCTCCCCAGATCTCTGTGATTTAGCCACACTAATCCTTTGACTGTCTTTTAAAAGGGTGGATGTGTGAGGTAGGATTTATGATTTATGATTAACATGGCTGTGCAGACTTTCTTATTCACTGACACTAGGATTGTTTAATCCTTGACATTCACCCAGACCGCAACTTAACCCTCACATTTGTAATGAACAGATCTATACATTTATACCCTTTATCTTTCAAATACACACAGAGACATTCAGAAAGATACACTTTTGTCATACATAAATCAAAACTGAAAGGGTTGGAGAACCTTTCCTTTTTTGATGAGGAGGCTGTGTTAAAAAGCAATGGACAAACATTAAATAGCAACAGGTGGAAAAGAGAAACTACTACTACTACTACTCTTGGCTGCTCCTGTTAGGGGTCGCCCCAGTGAATCCAATTCAAATGAATAATTTGGCACAGTTTTATACTGGATGCCCTTCCTGACACAACCCTCTCTATTTATCTGGGCTTGGGACCAGCACAGACATCACTAACATGAAACCCCTGTGGCTAAATAAAAGAGAAAATTATAATAAAAAGAAAAACTGAGTAGAAAAATATCACCCTGCAAATGTACTGTCAAATATCTGATCCAAGAACAGCCACTTCTAGTGATTTATGGTCTACATGTTGGTCAGTGTGAAGGCCACCCACTGAGAGGTCAGTATGAAGGGGTCACAAGGTCACACTGGGTCATGGCTCACTGGTGGGAATGGTCAAAAAGAATCATGGTAGCAGGCTGCTTCATCAATTTGCTGGTCAGTTTCTGCACAGTCTCTTCATCAGACACAGTGAGCATGGGCTAAACATGATGTTAAAGACTATACTTTGGAGGAAAAGCTCATGATCCTGATAAACACAGTGATGAACAACCCACGCCTGAGGCTGGGAGAAATATATCACTTTGTTTTCACAAGGATTAGTATAAGTCTCTGTATGTGTGTAGCAGATTTGCACAACTTACCAGGGAAACATGGAGACTAACTTTGGAGGGGTAAGATGAATAACAGAAGCAGGACATCTCCCTGCTCTTTAGAGACACGTGACTATCCCTGACAGGACATGCAGGATATTCCTTATTTAGCCACATGATAAATGATAGACAGTTGATAGACCAGTGTCTTTGGGGAAAAGAAGAGATTTGCCATTTGAAAAGGACATTTTTGCACCCAAAACAAACAGAGGGCTTTGTTTGCCCTTACCCTTTTTGACCATTGACCCCCTGACTTTTAATCTCAGTGAGGCGCTGTCATGGATCAACACAGAGCCTTTTGGCAATATTTTATTTTATACTCTAATTATTGAAACATTTCCTACAAATTTTAAATTTGTTTCCTGGTAAGAACCATAATTAGGAACGAATTACATTTAAAAAATAGCATTCAATTCCTAATAATAAATCAAAGGGAAACCAGTGCACAGGTCAGCTGAGCTTTATAAAATGTGACATTTGTCTACAATTATTAGGAAATTACAGATCTTTAAAATAAACTGTTACTCAGATTTTTGTTCAAGTGTTTGTAATATGACCTTTGTTTGAGAGCAACTGCCTACTGCCTGAAAATGACCAACAAGTTAACAACACAGCATTTAAAGTGTGCGAGTTTGGTAAGTAGGTTTATGCATGTCTGTTAGGGTGCACACATCATGGTTGTATTATTTGGGATAAAACTGTATTAAGCAGCTGATCAGGGCTCAGTGTCTGAATGGTTGCATTAACTCGCTAATCCTCAGGGGAGAGGGGCAGCTGGGGCAGCAGCTCTCCACCTCCTCTAATACACAACAACTATTGTGCGCTTGCTCTACAACATAAAGCATGGGCAGTGCTACACATCCACTCAGGTAAATCATCTTAATTGAAAGAAAGTTTAGTAAAAGGCAGCATCTTGTACTGAATACGCCCATGAGGAGGTTTTTTGCTGTCATGAGATGTGCTCTTCAGAACTAAATCTACTGTATAAATGGGGAGAATCGAGCTGCCACCCAGTGATGTTTTTGCTGAAATAAAATGAGTTGGGTAAGAGATAATTTGGCCACTAGGTGTCGCCATTAAATTGCTGTTATGAGTGTGCTTACACTGTAGTTTTCTGTAGAAACAGATTGATCTGATGCTTCACTGCTCAGCTTTTGTGAAGATGTCAAGTGATTGATATTCACTCATCAGACATGTTCTGCTAAAACTCACAGCCTTTGTAGAGCAGAAATTAAACATTTATTAGTAATGTTTCATAAATTTCCAGCATGATTATTGCAGAGGTGCAGAATGATTCAAACATTTATTGAGATCTCACCTGTCAAATGCAGCGTGCCAGCAGAGTGAGTTAAGAGTGGGAATAGAATATTTACATGTAAGCTGGTTGATGGAGTGTGAATGGATCTGGATAATCAGGTTAATGAAGGTACCTGGGGACTCTGCTCTATCAGAAATCTGCATGCTGTGCTCTATTCAGCTAACGACTGTATCAAACTGTAATTATTTACTGTGAAAGGACACGAAAAAGGATTAATCAAGGAAATCAGGCTGATTAATCTTCAAAGGCAGCAGTGAAGTGCAAGGGCTAGTAGAGAGGATGGAAGCGGTTGGTGCAGTTATCCTTGAAGGAGACAAATGAAGAACAAAAACAGTCAGGGCTCTCCAGCACTGCTGGCACACTGGGGTGAAAAGAAGCCAGAAACCTGGCAGCACAGCAACAACAGCACTGGCATCATTTGATGTAAAACTCTTATCTGGGTTGAACACTGTTGTTTGATACATTTCACTTTGATTTATTTCATAGATTATGAGAAAAATTATGTTTACTGTATTGGTGTAGGGGAGTGTTGATGCTCAATCTTGAATCAACAACAAAATTTCCTGAGTTGCGGGTCCTGCACTCTGTCAGTGCTGTAGCATGTTTAAGGAAAACGTTACTTCCTCAGGGGTGAAATATGAAACAGCAACTGTTTTAAATCAAAGTAAAGCCACAAACAGCAAGAACAATTATAAAAGAAGTCAAATGACAAACACCTGAGACATCAACAACTGATCATTATCATTCATAAAATGAGAAAAACAAATTCTTTTGACATACAAAGATATAATACAAAAACTGAGAAAAACACTAGATGGGCAATATGGAATTTTTATCAACAGGAGAAGTAAACCTTACTTGTCAAGAGAGGCTGGACTCTCCACTACTCTGGAGTTGCCCGCGATGAGAGGCGTCAGGCTGGTGTGGGCTTGCTTATAGCCCCCCCAGCTTAGCTGGCATGTGCTCGAGTTTACCCCGGTGAATGAGAGGGTCATTTCCCTGCGCCTTCAGTCCGGGGATAGGTCTCTCACTGTCGTTTGTGCCTATGGGCTGAATGGCAGTGCAGAGTACCCAGCCTTCTTGGAGACTCTGGGAGGGGTGCTGGAAAGTGCTCCGACTGGGGACTCCATTGTTCTACTGGGGGACTTCAACGCTCACGTGGGCGACAACAGTGATACCTGGAGGCGCGTGATTGGGAGAAATGCCCCCCCATCTCGATCTGAACCCAAGTGGTGTTCTGTTACTGGACTTCTGTGGTTGTTTCATCTGGCCTCTGGTTGTATGTCTTGGACACTCAGTTGAAGAGAGGGGCGGAGCTGTCAACTGATCACCACCTGATGGTGAGTTGGATCAGATGGTGGGGGAGGAAGCTGGACAGGCTCGGCAGACCCAAACGTATTGTGAGGGTCTGTTGGGAACATTTGGCAGAACCCCCTGTCCAGGAGATCTTTAACTCCCACCTCCGGCAGAGCTTCGACCAGATCCCGAGGGAGACTGGAGACTTTGAGTCCGAATGGACCATGTTCTCCACCTCCATTGCCGATGCAGCCACTTGGAGCTGTGGCCGTAAGGGCTCT